TGAGTGAATTAGTCACTCTTCAGATGTGGAATGCAAACACCCTTACACTAAGCTGCTGTCTGAAGAATGCAACAAACCAGAGATTTAGTTTTGAGATTTGTATCTGCCTTTCCTCTTCACCTCCCTTCCTCAGAGAAGAATAATGCTGTTTGATTTTTACACGATGTAATTTGGGGAAGGAGTGTGCTGGTAAAGCGAACAAGCAAAAGAGCTTTTGAGCTCTCTTTTGCATGCAGGTGAAACTCAAACGAGCAGGAAAAATTACATGGAAGTCTGAACCTGAGCACAACAGGTTTGTCATATTGACTGCCTCAGTGCTGGCAGTTCTGCTGTTAAAATGTGCCAGTGTGGTATGTTTTTGGTACATACTGGTGTTGTAATTTCCAGGTCATTTTACCTAAAGAACCGTGTGACAACCTTAGCAGCTTAAAGGCACGTACTTTGGGTGTGACTTCTTGCTACAAGCAAGAGTAGGAAACATGGTAAATTGGGATTTGAGGGGTGGAAAAAGGAATTGAACCCAGCTTGCACTGTGTGGTGAGGTATGCTTTGTCTCGGTAGCTTCTGCTTTCTACATCAGGGTATAATTAGCAGCTTGACTAGAACTGCTTTTCACAACCAAGCTTTTGAGTATTATCACATATATTTTAGGATGTGATAACAGAAGTGAGGGTCATACTAAACTTCATGGCAGGAACAGTGAATTCCAGCATGTGCCTGTCAGTGATTTTACTGTGTCTCCTCAGTTGTAGCTGGAGCCATCAGTACTGCTTTTGGTGCTTTTGGCAAGGGAGGGGTGTGGGAGATAAGTAAGTCAAGCTTCTCAGTTTTGTCTTTGGAAGTGAACTCTTCATTCCTCCTGAGCATTTTCATAACCTTTTATTAAATATTTGTTTTTCTTAAATACTGCACACTTCTGATGTATTTACTGCAGTATTTTTTTTCTTGACAAATCATCTCATGTTTGAAGGTTTTGGGTGTTGTGGCTCCTTTTTGCTTCCACTTAATTTGTGGTAACTAGGTCTTATGTGCATCCACTCTAGTTTGCTGTCCTGCTTTTTTCTGAAGATTCAACATTCACTTTCCTCATAAAAAGAGCAAAATCCTTGCTTGATTTGGATCATATCTAGGCTATATTAATTGCTCTTTCACCCTTGCTGCATAGTGGGCCGTTCTTTTGCCTGTCTTGCCAAATAGCATTGGCTTTTATCCCTGCACTGTTTGATGTCTGAGGCTTAATTTTCTATTCTGACCTGTTCTCATTTCCCTTCACTCCCATCATATACAGGCTTATTAAGAAATCTCTTTCAAGGGTGCTGTTGTCTGATTAAATCTGGAAATTGTCTCAGACCTGTGATGTATAATACTGATCCCCAGCCTTATGGAAATTGTGGAGTTGGGGTGTTTTTGTTTGTGTTTTGATTTATTTTTTTTTTGGCTGTTGTTGACACTTTAATAGTTCCCTTACTTTCTCAGTGCTTGCTCTCCTGAAATTGGAAAACAGCCTACCTTTTTACTTACCTTTGTTCTGTACAAGCTTAATGTTTAATCCAGAAGCAGGAGCTACCTAAACAGAGTTGAAGCCTTTTAATTTCAGTGACTTCTTTTGTGAAGAAATCAATCACATCCAGAAATAGCTGGACCCTCTCCTGTCTGTATCTGGGAAGATAGTTTAACGGAGATGATTGTGGTGGTGTTTTCAGAAATTCTGTTTGTTTTTCTTCCTTTTTACTTTGTCAAAGCTTTGTATTATTTATCCACATGTTACAAGGCATGGATGCACCTTATCTAAGTTTTAGGAGTTTTCTCAGACTAGTTTTAGTTTAGGAGTGATCGGATATAAAAACATTATTACCTAAGTAAGGCTAGATCCTTCCCGCCTGCCTTTCTAGAAACAGGCATTGCACATCTCTCTAAGTCATTACATAGGTGGAGCTGAGAGTAGTAATACAGCCCAGAGATGGTACTTTTTTGGGTTTCACCAAATTCTTTGTAGATATCATATGTGTTCTTACCATTTAGTGCTTCCCTAACTGTTGAACTTGCAGATTCTCCTTTGTTGGGTATGCAAGAGCTTTGGTAATGCTGTGAACTGGATGACCTCATGTCTCTTTTATGCTCAGTCATGTAAAAAAATGTTGACAGAGTTACTGTTCTACACCTAGCTGCTCTGAGAACAAAACTGTTCTGATTTTGAGATTGCCAAGGAAGTGGGTATCATCTTGCATCCCAAGTTAAAGTTATGCTTGCCTGTGCACTTTGAAGTCTATGCATTTTGTCCTGCTAATTTAAGAAGTCCATGGACTGCTTCTTAAGCTTGTTAGCATTGGTCTGCCATGAACTCACGGGGAGTAAATATGTTGGTATTTGAACATTATTTGCAGTACTTGATTGCTGTCTAGATAGCTGAATTAGGCATCTCATTCAGGAGGACAGTACTTAAGTCTTTGCAGTGAAAGCTTTTACTCTTTCCAATCTAGGGAGTCTCTAGAAGGTGTGTAGCTATGTTTTATACTGATGCTTGTTGAGCAGTGAAAGGGGAACCTAGTTTTTGAAGAAGATTCTCATCAGCATCCTACTGGATGTTTCTGTTTAGCCCCTTGTGTTCTCTGGGGGAGACTGAGAGCAGCTTATTTGAGCAGTTAACACAGCATGAATGCACATCTCGGGCTAAGGAACTGACAGTGGTGGCTGCCATTTCCACTGTGGGAGTTAGAGAGGTAAGCTGTTGTTGCAGGACAGAAAGGAAACCAGGGCATTGGTCATGTTATCTGCATCAGGAATTAGCAGCCTTCTGAACGTATTTCTTGCTGTCTCCATCTTCTCCCCAGGAGGAATAGCCAGGTTCCTTCTGTAAGTACAAGAAGGTGGAGAACTGAGTTCAACTTGCGTAAGACACAGGAGTAGCCTGCTGGACGCTCAGCTATCAACCAGATTTATGAAGCTAGGGACTGACAACCTGTTTGGTTACTGGAGTCCTCTGCTGTGATGAGATCTGATTGGCCAGGCTGTGCAGCAGATTCCAGCTATGCCTCTCTTGATCCCAGTGCTGTGTGTGTCATCTAACCTGTGCTGTATTTCAGCCACAGCAGTGTTTTCCCCTCCTTGAACAAGTGTCATCTGCCAGGATCCTGACTATGATACGTATGCAAGATGTTGCAAGGAACAGTTATCTTTATAACTACCATATGTGCTTTCCCTTTGTTTTGATGAAGGCAACCTTCAGTGTTTAAATGCTTTACTTCCTTTAATATTAGTCTTTGTTATGGATTATCAAATCGTTAATGGATTTCATAGCAAATTTTTATAGACTGCTATCTGATGGCCAGGTGTTCTTGTTGGGTATGAACTAATTTATGAAACTCCATTACATCAGCTTTGGTGTTAGTTTTTGCTTACCTGGTGTTATAAATTTATAAAATCCCGAACTCTTCCAGTAGTTCTAATCATTTGTGTTGATGTCTGTGTGACTTAGCCATAAGAAATATATGGCTCAACAAGTATTCTTACACATTACATTTAACGCCCTGCCCTCATTTCCACCACAGGACTAAACCTGGTAGGTTTTATTCAACTTTGTTGTTGCCAATAACTTTATCTTTGTTACTACAGGTTTACAAAGTGTTGGTGTCAGTTGGCAGAAATGAGTGGTTTGTCCTCAGGCGATATGCAGAGTTTGATAAACTGTACAATACGGTAAGCAAAGGGCAAGTTATGAAATCATGCCAGAAGTGGCACTTGTTTGCAGTGTTACGGTTTGAGTTAATTCCCTCTTGGGAAGTTTGAGTCAACATTCGATAAGCATAGGAGCTTCTTGAAAGAAAATGACGGGGTGGGTTGTTTAAACTTTGATTGGTTTGAATTTCAAACTCAAAATCCGCTTACTTGTCACTTTTTTTTTTAATTGTTGCTTGGCATCATAGTGTAATGAGAGAAACCTCCAAATTTACTGTTTGTCAAAACATCCGAAATGTGCATTTGTTCATGATGATAAAAATCACTGCAAAACTTTAAGCATCAAGTTAAATGAATCTATTAAATAAGTGGTTTACTTTGAAGTACTGAAAGCAGTGAACAAATCCTTGGTTTTTAATATAAACTGTTCATACCTGCAGTTTCGTAGCCAAATTGTGTGGCAGTGGTCCCAATGAAATAGGCCTTTTCATCAGCTAAGTATGGGTTTACTGGGTTTGTTGCTACAAGAGAATTTTGACTCTTTTACATAGTGGGCAAGTGGGGCAGTTACTGGCTCAAATGTGCAGTCTACGATGTGTCCTGTGTCTCTTAATTTTCTTCAGTTTTTCATGTTTAGAACCCACAATTTTTGCTTTAACAAAAAGAGAAATGATTCCTCTGTGATGCCCATAAGAAAAGATTACCAGCTGCTCATCTGTGCTTCCATTTTCACTCCGTTGCTCCTGTGGGAAGTAGTCAGGCTTTTGTCCCTTCTGCTTCACTGTACGTGGATCTATATGTGGCAGTGGTATACAAATAGAGGCAGTGAGCCTGGAGTTGTCTTACAAGGTCTGAGCTGAAGTCAGCCTGGATGCACCATGCTATGTTTTGCCTGCATCTTTTGCAAGCGATGTGGAAACAAAGTATCCCCTTTTCAATACCTGTAGGGTGGGTGTTGGTGATCCTGTTCCCTTTGCCACATTCTCTTGCTCTGCAGAAGCTTGTTCAGCACTGGTCTTCCTAACGTGTGTAGGGGTGGAGGTCGTGGAGAAGCATAACCAGGAGGGCACTGAGTCCAGTTTCTGTTCTGTATAATTTGTATAGTGCACCAAGAAGAACTTGTGCTGCTAACTGGAGGAGATACTGATGTTTCTAAGGAAAGGAGAATTGCCAGCTACTCTATTAGAAAACTACTCTCCCAAAGAGAATGAGAGTGAGATTGCTTCTCTGAGCTCTTGAAGATGAAGCAAATGTAATCAAGGCTTGGCAAATGTCAGGGTTTGGTTTTTTTAGTACATATAAATTCAGTGCTGTTGTATGTAATCTTCTGGTCAGTTTACCAAGTGTAGAATATAATCAAACTATCAAATGCAGCATTGTAAACCAGGCTGTTCATCTATTTACAATTTTGACTTAGGGGTAGACAACCTGTGTTTTCTAGAGCTTTAAGACTGTTATTTGGTCAAAACCCAGAGGCATGTGTCCCCAGCACATCTGAAACCTCTTGCATACACCTCTGTGCAAGCAAGCAAGCAAGAAAAAAAACAAACCTGGGAGAGACTTGATGGAGGAAGGAAATAAACAGGAGAATAAAACCAACACTGAAATTCTAACCTATGTTTGGGGGCAAGTGGAAGATCCTTTTGGCAATATTGCAGAAGATAGCTGCAGTAATTCAGAACCTTCTAAACTGATATGGCCTTTGAATTTAAAAGGGTGTGAGTGGTGCAAACAGAGTACAGATTGGGGTTTGTTTATGTTCTTTTTACGAGTGTATGAGTAGAGAAGATGGCAGAGAGGAGCAGAATTACTAATAATCAGATGTTTATACTGTTCATCAGAAAACAAAAAAGCCAACAATTGTTTCTATTGATATCCAAGAACAATCCAATTGTATGTGTTTTGTTTTCAGCTAAAGAAGCAATTTCCCACCATGAACCTGAAGATTCCAGCTAAAAGAATATTTGGAGACAATTTTGATCCTGGTAAGTTATCATCTGGTTACTCATTTTGTCAGGTTTTTTTAGATGAAAATTGATCTATTCCAGCCTACAAGAAGTTATCTTAGATGAGCTTTACACCAGTCCTCAAAACAGTGACTAAACCAGAGTTTAGTCATGCCCCACTCAAGAACAGGAACTAGCGTAGGTAGGTATTCTGCGTGTGATTGTGAGCAAAGCGTTGCTTAGTGGCCCTGTATCGCTCTTGCACTGAAGGCTATAGCTTCTCCCAGCCCTCCTATATTCACTTTCTGAACTTTGAAGGTGTAATCTCTGTTCTGTAAAAGCAAAAGCCAAAACCCAGACTCTTCTAAACATAAGCCTAGCAAATTTTTACTTTATTTGTGTAACTTCCCCTGCCCTGTCTGAAAAACAAACTGAAAGATTTATCTCTGAATGCTTTTGAACTCTCTATATCTAAAAGTGCTTCCTTGTACAGCTTAGATGAAAATGAACCTCCTCCTGTTGTTATTCCACTTAGAGAATCCTGTCTGATGTTCACACGATGTGATCCAGTTAACAGTGATAGGTCCCAATTAAGCTTCCTCTGTCCACATCAAAATGCTCATAAGAAATCACTTCTAAAGTGCACTAAATTAACCTAGGTGGCACCACCAGTGAATAAATAAGGCAAATGGGAAGGCCAAGCCTTTGCTCTGTGTGTTTGTACCCTTCATTCAGGGTATTTTTCCTTAAGGGTGTTCCTGACGGTCATTGGGAACCTCCCGTCCTCCCATGGCTTGCTAATGTGGTCAGACCAAGTTTGTAGTTTTGCATCCTCCTGAACCTATTTCAGGCATTTAATTTTCTGCTTTGCTGAAGAAAAAATAGATTCAAAGGTGTTGAACTCTTGCTATTTGTTGTTTTGGGTTTTTAGAGTTCTTTCAAACAGATTTTTGGCAGTTACTGCTAATTGTCTAGGTCCTGACACAAAACTCCTTTTTATTTTTTATTAAAATAATCAAATCCAAGTATCCAAGCTCTGATGGCCGCTTTTGATGAACACGTAAATGATTGCCAAAACTTCTACATAGATTGTGTCTACAGGGATTTCTTGGCTTGGTTTCTATCCTTTCCTCTGACCTTGGGGTTTTCAGAACGGGCTGAGCCTGGTAGTGTGGGCTGTTGTACAGCCAAATGTACAGGTGAATTTCTTGGAGTCACATTTAGGAAACCGGAGTTTAAATGGGGGGGAACAACCTAAAACTTTATTAAAACTTTGTATGTAAAACAAAGTCCTCCGACTTGTTTTAAATTTCTGTGAACTGTGCTGAAATCCTTGAAGCATGAGAAACTAGATAGTTCTTAAGATGTTTCTTGCTGGGAGGCAGGGTGGAGATGGAGCCATGATGCTCTTTTAAGTAATTATCTTAACACTTCTTTAGCAAAGCTTTGATGTAGTGTTTTTGCTGGCTTCTGAAATGTCGCATATTTTACAAATGTTGAAAAGGTATTTTGCCTCTGTCAGTCCATGCTTGGGTATGCAACGTTGTACTATTGCCTTGGAGTGCAGTAGAGTGAAACTTCCATATCCCTTTTCCTGAAGTCTCCCAAAAATACTGTTGTAACATACGCTGTCATCCAGATGCTTCATTTTTGTTGTCACATAGGTTATTTCAGAATTAATCTGGGTTTAATGTCAGAAGTAGGACAGAGGGAAATCATTGAAACCAGTCAGAATACAAAACTAGAAAATGACAATACATTTGAGCTGACATGATAGAGGTGTTGTATCTTCAACAACGTGGGTAGCTCTGTAGCCTTAGAGTGGCTGATGGAACAATACATCCACCATACTGAAACTGCTGATGTTGTTGACTCCCATAACATCTTTATGCAAATTTAGCTTCCTGTTTGATGTCAGTAATTTGGGATTATTAAATACCCAAACAAGGATTGAGGGATTATATCCCTGAAACAATATGAACCTTTTTCCTTAATATTTACAATACAGCTCTTAATTGAAATGGAATTTTAATTTAAAATTTTAACAGTGGTCAGCAATCTATATATGACAGTCACCTTAACAGTTAACACATGAATAAAAGAGTCTTTCCATACAAATTGTTGATAGGAATAATGAAAGATAAGATTATCGTGTTTTACACTTTATTTCATGTTAAGAGTTTAAAATCCCTTGTGTATCTTTCCATATTGCTAAAGGAAAGTTATGTATCTTAACCTTTGGGTGAGGGAGGATTACTTTTTTGACATTAGAGATGTCCAAGACAGAAAATAAAGCATTTTGTTTAGTTACCTTTAATGGTTACATCTGAGCACCTGCTGGCGGGATGAGCTGTGCAACTTTCCCACTGCCATACATACATTATGGAAATGTGCTGCTTGGTGGGACTGTTCTTGTGAAAACTTGATTCGTGCAGCTGATGTCAGGTTTTCCCTGTGGTTTGTGGGTTGTGAGCAGAATCGGGTCCTGAAGGGCTCACCCACACGACGAAGGCTGCACAGGTTAGCCCAGTGTGCTTACCCGCTGTTCTCAAAGCACTTCAGTACAGTTCTTATCCAACTGGCTCTATGCATTTCCTAGTAGTGTTGCAGAAAAACTGAAATGTGTTCTTTCACCTCACTTGAATGTGTTGAATTTGTGATTTTTCACATGTAGAACCAATCTTTTTACCGAACCAGTCATGAACCACTCTTTTTTTTTTTTTTTTTAACTGCTGTTTAAGTCCTACAAACCCCCTCCATTTGAAAATGAAGTACTTTTTGCAAGCTGACTGATCATTCTAATAAATCTATCTTACCTTTTTCTTTTTTTCCCAGATTTTATTAAGCAGAGAAGAGCAGGACTGAACGAATTCATTCAGAATTTAGTTAGACAGCCAGAGCTATGCAACCAGTAAGTAATTTCATTTCTATTTTATAAGGACTGTATAAAGGACATGAGATGTCAGTACAAAGTTGAAAATTACATGCTTTTAACCAGATAATATATTTTACATGTTGGATGCTCTTAAATATAATAAACAAACTTCACTGTGGTCTGATGAACAGTATAAAAACATTTTTGTTTTCTGAAAACTGATCTACAAATAAACTTGGAGGCAGTTAATGGATCTTAATTCAAGGGGTGCAGATTCCAGTGTAAACTCTGTTGCTGTAGGGCAGGTGTTTGTTTTGCCCATGGCTGTACTGTTTAACAACTCTGCTGTCACATGCTATTACCTTGCTGTGAGTAAGTCACTGCCTGAACCCTTGTGTTAGAGGAGGGTTCAGAACTTGTAAGCATTTTAACTAAGTAGCTTAATCAGCTTGCTTAGGCAGTTTGGGGTAACCAAGCTGCCTGTCTAAAGCAAATGAATAAGCTTGCACATAAACTGTTCCATGAGAAGAACTGCAGGTGTGTCAACCTCCATCAGTGTCCTGCTGATGAGTAAGAGATAATGATATCCTAGGGTCGGCTCCAGTTAAATCTGGAGGATAGCACTTCTATGTGTGAATTTATCTGGGGGCTCAGCTGCATTTTCTTTTTCACTTTAAATCTATACCTAATAAACTTAAATTAAGTCTGTGCAGCTTTTTGTGTTGCTTGAACTGGTAAAATGGTAAAGCTCTATGTTCAGCTTTAGTGTTGAGTAAATGTCTGTAATACATATGCTTTGCTTAATCAGCCTATCTGTACAACCTGTTGAACTGCCTGTTTCCCACAGGAAAGAAAAGAACCCTTGAACAGTATTGCTGCAGAGTGCAGTCAGTATTTTTTTTCCCCTAATAAATGAACTATTTAAATGTCCTATTAACCCGAAATATGTACTTCCTTTTGTATGTATGTCCCTGTGATAAGCAGAAAAAAATTTGAAATCAAGTCTTTATGGTGGAACAGTTGTCCACTAGAACAAATAATGTGAGGTTTGTGGTCATCATAGTGTTCTTCTCTGGGGAAGATGAGAAAGCACTTTAACTAATTATTGAAAGCTAATCTGTTTTGTTACATTAGGAAAGGACACTAGTTTTAATTAGCACAGTCCCCTCCCCTGTTTGGTTATCAGTATGTCCAAGTACCAAATATTTTGTGTCAAAACATAGTGTATTTGTTCTCCAAAGGTAAAATGCTACAGTTTCTTTTCTTGAGCACATCACAGAATTGTATGCTTAAAAAGAAGCACCAAACCTCAAATTCACTTATCTTAAATTTTTTGTGAGCTCTTTAAATTGTTTTACACTCAAATGCATCTGTAGCTCAATCTATATTCTTTAACGTTGCACTTAGCCTGTGTGATCCATTAAAGCTAACTTAAACCAGTATTAAGGAGTAATTCTTGCAAAGTGTTTTGGTGTTGTTGAAGGTGTGTTCAATAAAATTTATTAGACACACAATAAAACCAAAATAGAGACTGAATTTGTCTTGTTTTTTTTAATGTGCTAGAAGCTACTCAAGGAATATGTGGTGACTGAGTCTTCACAGATAGTCTGCATCCTTACTTTCTTAGACTATTTTGCTTTAATGTGCTAATTAAACTTGATATTAGCAAAAATGACTTACATAAAGTTAGTAATGTACAAGGAAGGCATAGGAGGATACACGGTTCCACACAACTTCAAGGGAGTCCACCTTTTACTATGTCTTCTAAGCATTAAAACTAGTATCAGGATGTCCCATTTTTAACTCCTGCCTAGGAAAAGTGTGTCACTAAAACCTTGAAGTTGGTTGGTGGTGATGCCCTCATTTCTGGATAGGAAGACACCTGAACATCTGAGTTGAAAAGCACAAATGTCAGATTCAGGGTGTCCAAGATCCTAATGTTTATATTATTCTCTGAAACTTACAGCACTGTCGGGTGTGTGTGGGGGGGTGGTGGCGGCGTGTGTTTGTTGTGGGGTTTTTTCTCTCCTTCAGTGGACTTGGTTCTTGGGTCCGACATGTTTGTGGAATATTGTATTGAAGCCAAGCCTTTCTGCACAGTAATAAAACCAACAAAACCCAAAAATGTGTTGAGTTACTGGAGAGACCCTGTGATGGTTGGTAAGGATTTTCCTGCAGTCACTGTCAGCTGGAATACAGGGCAAGATGGATCATTGGCTTAGGCCTAATTGGGAATTAGGAGGACTAGCTTCAAGCTGCATTTACCCAGGTAACTGCATTTGACAGAGCACTCACTCTCTTGGATAGAAAGCAGATGTTGCCAAAAAAAAAAATGTAGAAGGAATAGAAATCTGATAATGTGCTCCCCTTGCTGAGTGATTCTTGAATAGAAACTGGGAGTTTATTACTTGTGAGCAGTGTGAGGCCTCTTAAATCACTGAGCAACTATTTAAATTGGGCTGATAGACCCCTCAAAGGTAGGTCTTCACTGAAAAATTAATGAATATAATTGGCTGTGAGAGCATGTCCAAAGAAAATCTGTTTAAATCCAAATGTATAATAGAGGGTGCGTTAAAGATGTAATGTAGTTATTTTTGAACAGTCCAAAGTAGTGCCTTAATGAAAATGAGAACATTTGCATAACACTTGAGGAACTCAAGGATGACAATACCCTGCTACCTCTGTGGGGTGTTATCAGCTCTTTAAGTGAGAAGCAGGGGTCTGTGTTTGTTGCCTAGAAGAAAACCAGAGTGACTGGATTTTTCTGGTTTCTGAATCTGAACCCCCTGGATTGTAAGATCTTGCAGTCCACGTTTGGGAAAGATAACCTTGCATTACGTTAGTTGTGCTCTTTTAACATGTTAACTGTGCATTATGGCTTTTTGAGCCTTTACCTTCTGTAAAAAAAGAGCACTGTTTTACTGGGCACCATTTTTTAAAAAAAAAGGGTGTCTTTAATGTTCTGTCACTGTCGGTTAACTTCACCATTTTGCTTAAAAATTCCGCTGACTTTTTGGGCTTGTTCATATTTCTGTACATCCAAAATTTTTGCGTGGCTTCATACGTTTCTGCAGGAAGGCTAAATGCAAAACTACTATTACAGAAGGAACTGTATTTAGGTGGAGCTTGACACCCATTCATAATCTCAAAGAAAATCCATAAACTAAACTTAGCCAGTCGACTTTTGCTGGCAGTATATGTACAATGTATATTGAGCATCCCTTTTTAAACTCTTTTCTTGATCCTTTTAATTTCCTGTGAGGTTATTTTAGGAATAGTTCCGGTGTATTTTAAAATACATTGAGTTAATATATGTGAGCTATTACAGTGTAGAAGTCCTACCAATCTGTATAGCATATATTAGCATGCTGCAGTCTGGGCTAAGAAATTAAACTTTTAATCACTACTTTTTTTGCAGTGCTTTTAAAATTGCAAATGTGAACAATGTAACATTGATCAGTTATACTTCTGGCTGTCATGTATTGTGGAGATTGAATACCCTGCAACTGCACAGCAGCCTTTGACTGTGAACGTATCTTTTTATTTTTATTTTTTCCCCCGCTGTGAATACAGTCATGGACAGAGTTACTATAGTAACTATTTGAGTTGTATTACAACATGCTCTATTTAATCAGCCAGTCGTCCAGAATAATAAATGCTGAAAGGTAATTAAGATCTGGTTCTGTTGTTCTGTCTAGTGAAAAGTGTTAACCATAACTTTTTATTCTTGATTTTTATGATATCCAAGGATTCTGAAATTTAAATTGCTGCATCGTGAGCCAGTATTATAACAGTATTCAAACCACAGTGATTTTTGTCTTCTGTGACTCAGAATACAAGAGAGGCCCTGAAATAGATCAGAATTTGGAGTTCATTTAAGATGGGAAGAATTAAACTGAAATGATAGTGGGAAATTGTGTGTACAGCTGTGTTGTACTTGAAACCTGAAAGGCTGAAGTTAACAAACAGCTTTCAAGTAGGGCTTAGTAATACAGAATGTGTGTGATGGAAACTGGGAACCTCAGATAGCATGGGATATTAGTTAGGTTCAGTAATGAGTAATACTAATACGATATACAGGAGCTGGGGATATGTCAGAAATGGTTTGTCCCTTGCTGCTGATCCTCACTTTGCAGAAGTGTGGAGGGTGAAATGGATTGAAAATAGCGAAGTGTATCTGTTTCTTACATGTAAAATAGGGTAGGTTTATATACTAGGGGTAAGATAAAAGAGCAGCTCTATAGTAAGTTAGTGCTTTTCTTTTACTGAACGGCTCATGCAGTTTCCTGGCAGTGGCTGCCCTGAGACCTTCTCAAAGAACTTAATCTCCGAATTTAGGTAAGAGTTCCTCCTTGATAGCAGGCTGCCTTTTACTGGACTGATGGAACTTGAAAGTTTCAATAATCTCTTCAGGTGGTATGTAGCCTATACGTGATACCTATTTGTTTAGGCATTAATTTTGCTTCACTTGTAGTACATTATTTTTTACTCACTCACTGTGTAGTGGTTAAGAAAGGCGTTACATTCTTTTGAATTAGTGTTGAGTAAGCTTTGCTTCCTAGAAGCAGGTTCTCAGAGTTCTTTTACTTTCCC